ATGAAATACATTAGCGCAACTGTATTAATGAACCACTTGATGTCATCAGAGATAGGCGCGTGCTCGGTCGTTTGTCACGCGTGGCCTTGCGGCGGAAATGGCGCGGGCGCGAAAACCGCCCATATTTCCCATGAGGACACTGGGGTGGAGGGGGGGGAGGAGGGGAGGGGACAGGCGCAGGGCCCGTGCGAGCCAACGCCAGCATACCGTTACCACCCTGCTCCATCTCAGTCCCGTTGCGCACGGCCCTGGTCCATCCCAGTTCCATCACGCACGGCCCTAGTCCACCAGTCCCGTCACGCACGGCCCTGTTCCATCCCAGTCCCGTCGCGCATGGGCCTCGTCCACCCCAGTCCCGTCACGCACGGCCCTGGTCCATCCCAGTCCCGCCACGCACGGCCCTGGTCCATCCCAGTCCCCATCACGCACGGCCCTGGTCCATCCCAGTTCCGTCGACGCACGGCCTCTGCGGCCGTCCTCCGCCGCCCGCTGTACGAGCGGCGTCGCCACCGCCGCTGAGATCACGTGCCCGGGGCGCTGCGAGGCGGCCGCCCAGTCCAGCCGCGTCTCGCGGAGCGCGGCGCGGCGCGGCGCGGCCGGGCGCCTCGGTCGCCGGTGCCGAGCGGCATCCTCTCGGCACCGCAGCGCGGCCGCCGGTCAGGAACCATTCCGACGGGCGGCCGCCGTCACACGGGAGACGGAGTGCCGGCCGCCGACGCCTCCCTGGCCGTCGGCCCGTCGCAGCGGCCGCATCCAGTCCCCGCCGGCCGAGCCCTGGCCGCCGCGAGAGCCGCTCGCGCCGACACGCAGTCCACTGGGGCGGCAGCGGCCCACGCCGGCTGCTGCTCCGCTCCGCTGGACTTCGGCGACAGCGAGTCGCAAAGCTGATGGCTTGTGTGGAAACATATACCGGATAAGTCTTGGCAGTGAAGGTCGGAGCGATCCAGCTCGTGTTTGACAGAAAAAACAGCGCAAAGCAATTGTCTTTGTGAAAAAATACGCACGGCGAATCACTGCTGTGGTGAAGTTCTGCAAGCATCGTTAACAGTGGGCGGATCACTGGGCACTTGCCATGTTGAGCAGTTGCGGTCCCGAATGCCTTGGCTTGTTTCATATCGCGCTATCGCAGCCAGCCCTGGCATCGTCGGCCGCCGCAGCTCTCGCGTCCGTCGGCGGCGGCTTGCGCCACCTCAACAAGATACGCTATCCAAGCAGGCGCGGTCAGGCGTCCGGCGGTCGGGCGGCCGGCGGTCCGCATGGTGGCAGCTGAGACGCTTGCGGCGCCCCGCAGAGGGCCGTCCACCACACTGGAGCGTACGCCGGCCTCAGGAGTGTCGGCGGCGTCCCGTCACGTGACGGTCCGCCCGCCGGCAGTCTGGGGACGACTGGCCGGACCGAGGCGGTGGGAGGCGTCACGCGGAGCGCAGCTGACCCTCCAGGACGCGGCGGCGGAGGAGTCACGCGGAGCGCGGCTCCTCCAGGACCGCGGCGGTGGGAGCGTCACGGGAGCGCAGCTGACTCCAGGACCGAGGCGGCGGGAGGCGTCCGCGGAGCGCGGCTAACCCTCCAGGACCGCGGCGGTGGGAGGCGTCCGCGGAGCGCAGCTGACCTCCAGGACCGCGGCAGCGTGGGGGGGGGGGCGCCGCGCGCAGCACGGCTGACCCTCTAGGACCGTGGCGGCGGAAGGCGTTCCGCGGAGCGCAGCTGACCCTCCAGGACCGCGGCGGTGGGAGGCGTCACGCGGAGCGCAGCTGACCCTCCAGGACCGCGGCGGTGGGAGGCGTCCCGCGGAGCGCAGCTGACCCTCCAGGACCGTGGCGGCGGGAGGCGTTCGCGTCCCGCGGAGCGTGACTGGCCCTCCAGGATCGCGGTGGCGGGAGGCGTCCCGCGGAGCACGGCTAACCCTCCAGGACCGTGACGGCCGGAGGCGCCCCGCGGAGCGCGGTTAACCCCCCAGGCCTGCACCTGTCTAGACCTTGATCGGTAACTCGGGAGGTGGCGTCCGCCGGCGCTTCCTGACGACAGCCTCCCCCCCCCCCCCCCCCGCTCCCCCCCCCCCCCGGAGCAGAGATCATTCCTGAGCACCGAGCGTCCCGCACGAGCCTCTGCGGCGATCGTGGCGGCCAAAAGCGGTGAGTCCCACGGACTGGCAGCAGCGGCGGACGTGCTTGCTCGCCACTGGCGATACCTCAGATACCCGCCGGCCCCAGAGCGGCGAGACAGGGTGCCGGTCTCCGCACAACCGGGGGCAGCGGGCCGTAATATAATTTTGCTCGGCCGACCGTGGCCAGGGTAATTCTGCTGGGCCGGCCGCGGCCGGGTTATTCTGCGGGCACGGCCCCGGCCGGGGTTATTTCACCACCAGTCGCGAGAGAGCCGCGACGGAAGGTCGGGTCGATACGGCCACTTCAGCACGGTCTGGTGCGGCGCGCCCAGAGCGCCGCCTATCCGCCAGGCACGGACGCAAGAAGGCGACGGTGAAAGGTCGGCTAGTGTTTCCCGTCATGCCTTAAGTAAGCTGCTCATAGAGAGCACCAAGCTGCTGTGGCAGGGCAGATCCGAAGGGGACGAAAAGGGCGACAGAGTCATCAACTGCGTTGCGGGGCGTGGCGGGATGCACGATCGACCATTGACAAGGGTGATGTCACAAAGTGCATGAACTGAATGACCAGCGCTAGCGCCATCGGCCGTGACAGGAGTGACAAGAATGAACTTGACAGCAGTGACCACGCGGATTGGTGCTGGCTGGCTGCTCAAACGCAAACGCTCCTGCGATTTGCTCAATGGAGAGCCTATCTCGTTCACCAAGTGAACCAATCCGTCAACTAGTCAGCTGAGCCGACAAACCCTTCCGGAGACTGAATCGGAATCATCCGCCGCATGAACCGACGCCACCATCGCGGACCAGGGACCCGCGCACAGCACAGTTCGCTGTCACGAGGCGTCGGTGGTCGGCCGGCACGCAGCGCCCCGCCTAGAGCCGGTCAGTCCGCGGCTGGGCCGGTTGGTGCCGTGCGGTGGTCACGCTGCTGCCCGAGGACGGCCTCGGCCGCCGCGGCGATCTGCGCCGATTGCGATCTGCGGCGATCTGCGGCGATCGACCGCCGATTGCGTGCCGTCGCCGGGCGACGTGGGCCAGCCGCGGGGCTGTCACCGGACAACGTCAGAGGCGGCCGCTGTCCGGAGCGCGTTCGGGCGAGGAGCGAGCGCCCGGCCACGCCTCCGATGCCCGTCCGGATGGCGGCGATCTCCGCTACCATTTCCGCGGAGCACCCACACAGGACCCAGCCGGTCTGCGCTGACCCTCTGCGGCGGCACCTCAGCCCCAGCGCTGGCCACCCCGAGCGCCATCTCCTGCCGCTGCGCCTCGGCCGTCCGCCGGCGCGCCTCCACCTCCGCCAGGGGGCGGTGGCGCGGTCGGCCGTGACGCCGGCGGCGGACGTGGCGCCGCACGGGCCAGATCAGTTGCGAGCGGCGCGGGCAGCCCGCGGCGGGGCGGAAGTGCTCCCTCGAGCCGCCGGCGCCGATCGATGACAGTTAAACACGGCCGCGGCGGCCGGGGCCGACACGAGCCGGCGTTGAGCCGGCCAGCCGTGGGGCGGGGGGGGGGGGGGGGGGCGGGGCCCGCAAACAGCGCGTAGCCGACTGGCGTGACCCACCGGCGGCACCTCTCCCCTCCCCACAGCCCGCGGCCTCGGCGACCCACAGCAGACTGGGTCGACGGGCCTGCACCCCAGCAATGCGGGCCGGCCCGAGCACGCCCGGGCCACGTGCAGCCCGCCACGTTCTGCGGCGCATGATCGATCTACCCGTCCTGCCACTAATGCCACCTCGCACGCCGTCGCCGTCAAAGGCGGTGGCGTCATGCATATACATTACTGTGTGTATCTGATGTGACGTCGGCCAAACAACGACCATTCAGACGGTAGGCCGTCGTTGTGCTTTGTCCACGCGCCATCCGGATGCGAATGGTAGCCACATTGGGACCTCATTTGGCCTAAATGGTCACACCTGCGGCCTTGATAACATAGCGCAGGTTGCTGACCCGCCCGTTCCGCTGGAACTGATGGATAACCAGAACCCTAACAAGGCATAATAGCACGATCTTACACAGTACATGTAGCTCCAGCCGCCTGTCGCCGATGCCACGGGGAAATCAGGCCGGTCACTGTCTTAACAGGAAACATCACAAACTACTCAGTAATTACTTTTACGCAAGCAGCAAAGTTTGCTGTCCTAAGCAATCGAAAAACCCGCGACCCGGATGTCTAACTATTGCGGATTTAAGACGTCGGAAGGTTGCAGCTTGCAATTTGAAGGCAAAGGTCAGATGGCCCGTCAGCAGCGATAACTAATCCTAATGCCACGAATAATGCTTGAACAATTCGTAAAAATACGCCGGCGAAGGGCGTCCAGCGATAAGAAGCTTGCGGTCTCTCCGGGCCTGAGGGGGGGAGGGGGGGGGGGGGTGAGGCGGGCCTCGCAAAGTCGGGGCGCTGATCCTCAGCCAGGACCGTGACCGCGAAAGCCAGACAATGGGACCCCGCAGTGGGCACCTGCGGGGCCCACTGCGGGGCCCCGCCGTGAGCCCCGTACGCCGGCTGGCGCCTGGAGAGCGCCGAGCTCGCGGCCGGCCACTGCACGGGGCCACCCGAACACACCACACGGGCGGGGCCGCCGCAGCCAGGCCGCCCCGCCCCTCCCCTCTTCTTCTCTTTGGGTCGGCAGGGGGGAGGAGCGGTCCGGAAGGGTGGCAGGTGCTGCCCGCGGATATCCGGCTAGCGGGGTTCCGCTCCACGCCGTCGGAACCGGACCCGCCCCAGCGGCCATCCCCCCCCCCCTCAGCGGAGCCGTGGCGTTCACACTCGCCCAGCGGTGCCACCTCCCGCCGCTCTCCAACCCGGGTCCGACCCTGACAGCCTACTCCGGCACCGCCGGCGTCGCGCCAGTCCCGCCCCCCCCCCCCCCCCCCCCACGAAGCGCCCGTCCGTAGAACTCACGCGTAGACTAGCCCGATGAGGTGGACGCCCCAGTAGCCGGCCCACAGCACCAGCACGGGCACGCAGAAGGCGGCCAGCAAGCCGTCGGCCCAGTGGCGCTCGTAGCTGTAGTAGGAGAACATGGCCGGCGCCGGTCATGGGCAGTGCTGCGCAGCCGACTGCGGCCGCATCGCGGGTTCACAGAGCCGCTCCGGGCCGGGGCCTCCTGCCGGACAGGTGGCGGGTCACAACACTGCCGGCGTCACAACTCCCGCCGGCCGGTCGGCCGGGCGGGAGGGGTCACAACACTGTGAGGTCAAAACCCCCGACGGCCGGCCGGGCGGGAAGGGTCACAACACTGTGGGGTCACGTCCTGTGGCATAAGGGGGCGGTCAAAACCCCGCCGGACCTTTTCCGGTGTACAGCGGGCGCCCCGCGTCTGCGGGCGTTAACGCGGCCGCATAAACCACTACACGTCTGGGAAACCAAAGATGCGGCGAGGTCCGATTCCCCGTGGTGACCACCCTTCGCGCCGGGGTGAGGGGCAGGCGACGTCTTACAGCCCCAGCAGCTGACGGTCCCCATGTTTATCCACCATCAGCATATAGCCGTCCACCGCATGCCTATGCAGTGTCTCAGTGTTCTGGGCACCTGGCGCGCCACAGAACAGGGGCGTGCGACACATCGTGTGGCACATCGTGTGAGGTGATGCCACCGCCCACACACGCCTGGGAGCGGCCGGCAATACCGGCATCACCCGTCTCGTCTGCCGCTTTATCTCGCCCGACAGCGGCCAGCGATGTCGATGCGTCATCTTATCTGACCGTGTTACTCGCGCGCCGCCACACAGCGGACTGCGCTGCCAACGTTGTCTGCACTGCCAGCGTTGTCTGCTCCGTCTGCGTTATCTCTATATTGCGTGCAAGCGGCCGATAGTGCCGATATTAGCAGCTCCAGCGCCGTCACTCATATCTCGCATAAACACATGCCGGGCGTACGAGCAACGCGCCGGGCAGCGCCGTTCCACAACCACCGCGGTGCTGGGGGATTCCCGGGCTTTTGAGAGAATGACAGCGTCATCCCAGTCTGACACGGCGCACACAAATGCAGTTGAACAGGCTGAACAAATCCCATCACACACAACCTGTGACGACAGCGTTAGGGCCCAGTGACGTCAGTCAGCGAATCTCTTCAGTTACCGAACGGCGCGCGAGCGTCGCGCCGGTCTCACCGCGGCGCGAAACGAAAATAAATAGCCACCGACAGGTCATCTGGTGGCGTCAGCAGAGAATCTGAGAGGCGTCTGGGCAGCCCCTCTTCACGTGAACAAGCACATCGCGGTCTTCCTTCCACAGTATCAATAGGAGGGACCGAGGCTCGCGTCACTCAGTTGATAGCGTTTGTCAGTGACCCCGTGTGCTGAGCCGTGCGGGATCATGCATCGTCACTCGCTGCCGGTGCCGGTGCAGGCAGCCGGTACAGGGAGGACGACAGCCGGTCCAGGGAGGACGGTAGCCAGTTCAGTGGGCACGGTAGCCAGTGTAGGGAGGACGGTAGCCAGTGTAGGGAGGACGGCAGCCAGTGTAGGGAGGACTGTAGCCGGTCCAGGGAGGACGGTAGCCAGTGTCGGGAGACGATAGCCAGTGTAGGGAGGACGATAGCCAGTGTAGGGAGGACGATAGCCAGTGTAGGGAGGACGGTAGCCAGTGTAGGGAGGACGGCCGCCAGTGTAGGGAGGACGGTAGCCGGTCCAGGGAGGACGGTAGCCAGTGTAGGGAGGACGATAGCCAGTGTAGGGGGACGATAGCCAGTGTAGAGAGGACTGTAGCCGGTCCAGGGAGGACGGTAGCCAGTGTAGGGAGGACGATAGCAGTTGTAGGGAGGACGGTAGCCAGTGTAGGGAGGACGGTAGCCAGTGTAGGGAGGACGGTAGCCAGTGTAGGGAGGACGGTAGCCAGTGTAGGGAGGACGATAGCCAGTTCAGCGAGCGCGGTGTAGCTAGTTTGGCTGATAGTTTCCCGCCACAATCACCGGGAGATTGCGTTGGCAACGAACGCGAAACTCGGCAATTACATGTGCCGCAATAATAGCATACGTATTTGAAGGACCAGGCAGCGCGAAAGTCCGTATCCACAACCACTACCCGCGGCCAAGGCAATCCCTTCTCCGGCCACACCCACGCCAGACGCAGGCCAAGGCAATCCCTCTCCCGGCTACACCCACGCCAGACGCAGGCCAAGGCAATCCCCTCTCCCGGCCACACCCACGTCAGACGCAGGCCAAGGCAATCCCCTCTCCCGGCCACACCCACGCCAGACGCAGGCCAAGGCAATCTCCTCTCCTGGCCACACCCACGCCAGACGCAGGCCAAGGCAATCCCCTTCTCCCGGCCACACCCACGCCAGACGCAGGCCAAGGCAATCCCCTTCTCCTGGCCACACCCACGCCCAGACGCAGGCCAAGGCAATCCCCTCTCCCGGCCACACCCACGCCAGACGCAGGCCAAGGCAATCCCCTCTCCTGGCCACACCCACGCCAGACGCAGGCCAAGGCAATCCCTTCTCCCTGGCCACGCCCACGCCAGACGCAGGCCAAGGCAATCCCTTCTCCTGGCCACACCCACGCCAGACGCAGGCCAAGGCAATCCCCTTCTCCCGGCCACACCCACGCCAGACGCAGGCCAAGGCAATCCCTTCTCCCGGCCACACCCACGCCAGACGCAGGCCAAGGCAATCCCTTCTCCCGGCCACACCCACGCCAGACGCAGGCCAAGGCAATCCCTTCTCCCGGCCACACCCACGCCAGACGCAGGCCAAGGCAATCCCTTCTCCCGGCCACACCCACGCCAGACGCAGGCCAAGGCAATCCCCTCTCCCGGCCACACCCACGCCAGACGCAGGCCAAGGCAATCCCCTCTCCCGGCCACACCCACGCCAGACGCAGGCCAAGGCAATCCCTTCTCCCGGCCACACCCACGCCAGACGCAGGCCAAGGCAATCCCTTCTCCCGGCCACACCCACGCCAGACGCAGGCCAAGGCAATCCCTTCTCCCGGCCACACCCACGCCAGACGCAGGCCAAGGCAATCCCCTCTCCTGGCCACACCCACGCCAGACGCACCAACTCACACACAACTCGTGCGACCTGATCAGGCAGGGGTACAGACGGTCACGTGTGACCACGCGCCACGGCGTCCCGGCCGGTCTCGGCGGGGTGGAGCCGAGGCCCGCTGAGGTGAGGCCGGCAGGTCGGACCCTCCTTCCCGGGCGGGGCAGGCTGCAGCGCCGGCGTCACTTGGACCGCCGCCCCGGTCAGACGGCCTCCGCGGCCGGCTAAGCCCGGCTTCGACCAGCTCTCTGCCGGCGCCGACAGCCGGTCTGGCGGACAATCTCTTCCACCTCGTCCCGTGCCCTCTCGCCGCGTGTCGTTCCGGTCAGGACGGTTGGGATGAAGACGCATGAATGAGGACAACGATTAAGGAAGGGTGAAGGGACGCCGCGTCGGCCTGCTGCTCATAGAAGACTTATTACCTATGCTGTCAGATCGAACGCACGGTCGACTGTGCGGTAGGACTGTGATACCCTGCTCTACAGAAAGAACTACGTCGCGTCAAGTGTGAGGATGTTGTTTGTGCACTCTTAAGTATGACATTTCAGATCTTTATTAAAAGGATTGCGACGCTTGAAAAAGCAGCCAACCACCAAGCCGTTGGTTGGCTCCATTTACCTGATAGCGGTCCCGTGACGCAGGGCAAGTCACACATGACCGGTCGAATTTTCGCACTGAACACGTGTATGCTCACTGATGCTGAGGAACGGCACCAGCTGAGGACGACTCCAGACACAGCCACACCCGACCACCCTTCCCACGCGGCTCGCCGACGACACAGGCACACACAGCACGACCGCCCCCGCAAGGAGCGCGAAGCAAACAGCGGGCGGCGGGCGGGGCGCACGGCCCGACTGCAGGCAGCCCGCCGGCGCCGGCTCCACCAGCGCGGCGGCGCGCCGCTGTCGACCGCGGCCGCCGCGAGCCGCCGGACGTCCGGCGCGGCATCCGGCGCCCGACAGTCTGCTGCCGGCAGGAAGCCGCCGCCGGTTGCCCTGGTCTGGGCTGGCTGCGCCTCGCGTCTGTCCCGACAGAGCTCGCGGACGAACCGCAGCTCGGCCACGCCTCGCGCCGAAACCACCCTCCGACCTAGTCCTGCGTCGGAGCACGGCGCACCAGTGAGCATGCGTTCAGGCTGCGCGGCTTTCTACCGGACGGCAGTATCAGCTGGCAAACCTGAACGGGAACGCTACGGAATTCAATTCAATTACACCGTTTTATGGTGCGCTATTCGGATCAGCTGGCCGCGCGTTTCCATTTTTTCGTGTTATTCCAACCACCAATGAGCGGCCGCGGGTGTTCCCCGCTTTCCATCCTCCAGCCTCCATCGCCTTATCTGGGCCGGACCGGCTCTCGGCGCCCGCCTCCGGCCGCCGAACTGGTCCAGCCTGGGCCGGGCCGCCGGCGCCGTCCATCGGCACCCGCCGGCCGCGCCCGCTGACTGCGCGCCGGCCCGGCAGCTCGGAGGTGGCGCCGGCACGCAGGCCAGGCCAAGCCATGGCACGTGGCCGGGCCTGCTCCGTTCACCGAACGAGGCTAGTGGCACGTTCACAGTCGATCCAATGCGGGTGACAACGGCATGGGGCTCCCCCGAGCCGTCAGATGGGGCACTCAAACTTCGCCAAAGTTATCAAGCTCTGCTCGCGGGCTCATGACATGCGCTTCAGTTGGTGGGAGCCTCAAGCATTTAGTAATGAAATACGAAATATCCCCAGCGGTGCATGCACTCAAATACGCAACACTTTCAATGATGGGCACCTGGGAAAGGCGGGGCGGGGGCACGATATGTAGTTGTGTATGTCACATGTTCCCTGTCCACCACATGCAGGTGGCCGTCAACGCGGTCTTTGATCAGCCGCCTCAAAGGCAAGACGCGGCAGTGCGACGGAGTTTACGCCCAACCAACGCCGCCGAGGGAGAGGCGGGGGAGGGGGCGGTCACGACCGGTGTGCTGCTCCCCCTCCCCCTCCCCCCCCTTCTCCCACTCCTAGGCCGGACGGACGCCGGCAAAGGTCGGCGGAAGCGCAGCCCGCTCCGTGCATTAGCTCAAGCACGCTCACGCCATGCACGGCACCCGCGGGCATAAGTCGCCCGATGACGTCACCGATACCTGTGACGT